CACCGCTGCACCACAGTAAGCATTTGGTTGTGTGTTTCCTATTCAGATATAGATGCACTGATCAAAAATGTTATCAATAATATCATCATAATTTCCTGGTTTGCCACTTTGCTGGTCATCCATTTTTTTAAAGTTAGTTTTTCTGAATTATTTTTTTTGTACTTTGCTGACCCAAATATTCACCTTGTCAAAAAATTAGAAAGCTGTAATTTCAATGTGCCTTCCCAATGCTGCTAATAGAGCTCTCCTGCCAAGTTAAAGAGCTCTAATCAGCAGTGTCAATGCTGTAATTGCAGTACACATAAAAGAGAAATACAGAGAGGTGTTTTAATTACAGGGAAACGCAGAGTGCAATTTCCATCTATGGCTGACAAATTGTGTTTGATTATACTATAAATGTTATATATGTTAAATGTTGAGGCTTGCGTTGTTTGGTAATTTTCGATCTGACAGCCACCGTGCCTTTATGACAGATAGACAGTAAGTGGGTGAAATAACGGCACTTTATTTTGGCCATGTGCCTTGGCACGTTGCCGTTCCATCTCTGTTGGGCTGGATGGATATCAGACAGTCGATCCATGGGAGGTGTTACCTGCTGAGAACAGACCAGGTGCAAACTCCACAGTAAGACCACAAGCAGTAGAGGTTTATTAAGCACTGCATAGTAATCCACCCTCTGTCTTTTGCCACCTTCCCATATGCACATGTCTGAAATGTGTAAACAAATAAAAGCTGATTGCTGCGGCTGTATTAGATTGTCAATATTTTTGTGAGGTTTTTTACGATAGCTTTAGCAAGATTTAATTGGGGGAACATTCATAAATGTAACATATGGTGGGTAGAGATAGCATTATAGGCACGCCGCTTACTGTGGATAAGCTCCACATCATGATGAATATGAACCTGTGTTTGTAATGAAATTGTTTTGGGTTTTTTTGCAGAGATATGTAACAAAGAAGATCCTAAACCTCTGAGCACTAAAAGAAAAAAAAAAAAAGGGCTTTTCTGATCTGCGCTTCATATTACTCATCACTGAAACATTAATTTTAGAACGATGTAGTTTTTGTGTACTTATCACTGACAACTAAACAGAGGGGGACCAAAATCAGAGTCACCATGTGGCACTTTTTCAGCCCATTTGGGAGCAAAAAAGCTTTTTTTTTTTTTAGGGGAAATCAGTTTCTGCATGTGTGAAGATCGAAACCATTTTAACGTTGAATGTTTTGCCCATCGAAACACATTTGCGTGTGACATCCGTTGCCATTATGTGAGTTTTTCATCATGTTGCAAAAATGTAAAAGTCAATGTCACGGCAGATGATTAACTGAGATGTGTTATCTGTGTATTCAGGCACTGAGTCCTCTCTCCATCTCTCTCTCTCTCTCTCAGCGCGAGATCACAAGCCGCTTCCCTACATATGCAGATTTTCCATCATCTTGCCAAGATGCCAGCAAACAAACCCTTGTTTACTGACATGAAACAACACAAATGCCTTTTTTTTCTTTCTTTCCCCCCAGACATTGCGGACATCCTGTTTTTATTCATCAGCACAGGACAACCTGAGTGTTGCACTGGCGGAAATGCATGGTGTTTTACTGAGAGGCTTGGAAACGCAGTCATTATTTTCCCCTTAGTGCAAAGATGCAGAAAGACATAGATGGAGAGAGAAAATAGAAGAGCCAGAGCCCTTTTGGGAATGTTAAACAACTGAGTTAATCAGGCATTAAGAACGACATAGCAGGTCAAAATATTTGTTTGCTTGCCTCAGTGCCAGTTTCAAATTTGAGGGTTACAACACAACTTGGTCCTGTTTTTTCTTCTTGTTTTATTTTACAACTCACAGTATTATGATTGGCAAAGCACTCTATTGTTCCACCATCTGTTCGTCCCCTAATGAATATTAGTGAGATATGAAATGCATGGTCAAAGAGATGTCATGGTATGTAAACCCCTGATTAATAGTGACCATGTCCATCATTCGCCTCATAACCAAACTTGTACATTACTCAGATAGATTGAGTTGCCATTCATGACTGCAATCTGTGCATGCATGAGAAATAACAATTTGAGTCGGACTCTGATGGCAGCCCTTGTTTGGTTGATTATATAATTGATATAAAACATGGTGGCAGGCGCATTAGGGAAAGATGTACCAAATGTCCTGAGTGCTATCCATGGTGCTGATCCGACTGCGCGGCCCTGGAACAGACTCAGGAGTTCTTGGTGTCCATCCACACTCTATACAAACCACTTAGTAAACTCAAATGGCAGCATATTGGAAGAATAGCCTATTATTGTGTTATGAGTTATAGTATTCTTATCTTATCTAATCTGCCTGATGAGTCAGGCTTCAAGACATCCTGAGTTGCTGTGCTTGCTTCTTCCTTCCTTCCTCCTTCTGTGCTTATAGCTGGGCGTCGATTGTGCCACAACTAATTTTAACAGATGCCAAATAAATAAATTATGGTTAGCAATCTTTACAGCTAATGGCATTAGCAGCAACACAATAGGCCAAACAAATCTACGGTAGTTTGCAGTCGGCAAACTATACCTTATTTACATTGAGGGGACACAGTAATGCAAACACTATCGGAAAGTACTTTAGCTCGAACAGTTCAGTCACAAGTATGGTTACAAAGGCTATTATAAGTGATGAGGTAAGATGTAATGTTAACTGTCCACTGCAGGTCTGATATCTACTACATTCATTTGGGAATGCTGAGAGCTTTGCAGAGATCAAATCATTTGCACTTCTGTTTCACTTTAAAACTGGAAAATGGCTGGAAACCTATGATATTATGCTCAGTGCTGGAGACAAAGTGCACTGGCAAAAAAGTGCAAATTTGCTCAAGCTTCCTTGCTTTCAATTAGGGTATTTTTGTGCACCGAATAATTTGAGAAGCCTACCATGACCCATTTTTAAACACGAAACAAAATGCCTTCTTAGATTTGGTTATTACCTGTCTGACAATGCAAAACATGAACTTTAGGTCATGAGATTGATCATAGACAGTAAGTTGCACTCACTTGCAAGATTTTTAGTACACATAACCAAAAGCAATGCAGTGTAGCCATGCAATAAAGTCCACCTTTGTGAAGGTTTTATCAGTGTTGAAACCCTGGTAAAGAGACATTGATTCAACTGTATGATCATTGTTTTTGAGATGTTTGTGTTGCTGGTGAACAATATTGTGTTTTTCTGACTATAGCTTTGATTAGTTTGTCCACCCTATTTATGTAAATTACGGTAGGCTGAATATCTAAAATACATCTCAGTGTAATGCCATCCAGTTCAACAGCACTAAAAACTGCACCATCCAGAATGATCACGCAACTGACTCGACAGCTTTCTGAAATGGTTTCGACAAAAACTCAACATTAAAACCTTCGTGAAGGTGGGATGTAATGCAGGGCTGCTGGGATTACACCATTAGTTTTAGGTATGTGTACCTAATAAACTGCCAGCTGGGTGTATTTGGCATAATTGGATTTCTGTCATGTGTGGGGGGTTTCTGAAATGAATTTAAAGGAACAAATGTCAAACTGATCTTTAACTCTCAATAATTTCACATGGACCCCCTGCAGATAGATTATCAATTTGAACAATGGGGCTGAAAATGAAAATTAGCCCAATCAATTTGCATTTATTTATTTTTTTTAAACACAAATTTTAATTACAGCGCCCCCATCAGGTGAAGCTGTGCGCACAATTTGAGTTAGTGTTTAAATAACACAGTGGGTTCCTTTTTTTTTTTTTTTTTTTTTTTTTTATGGGAACAAGTCAATAAATCTCAACATGAAGAGCCTTCCAAGTGGTGTTTGTGCAGTAGGGGAGCAGCTCCTTTGGTTGGATCACTGTGGTTCCCCTCCTCTCTCAGGCAAGAGAGTCGCTGTAGGAGCTCTACAAAAAGGGCTCACTGCTCCACCATCCGCCTCTGATCCCACCATATCCATGACGAGTCGTGTCCGAGTTTACGCAGCGGCGCACATCCTGCTTACCAGTGCGTGGAGCCACCACAAGCGCTGCATGGCTGTGAGATACGTGCTGCTGAGTGGAGGCTTCGGCGCATACTGCCTCTGCTCCATGCAACCCGACTCCAACCCCGCGGCGCTGCATTGGCACCGCGCCTCTCGTTGAACGAAGACACGCTTCTCGTTCTATTTTTTTTTTTTTTTCCATGTCAGAGGCCCGGATGCGCTGAGATCGATGCGTGAGCAACTGTTGGTGCATTTATAGCACGAACCCCCCCCCCTCCAACCTCTTTTGTGTGAAGAGGGAAGTAGAGAGCTCAATGGATAGTGTCTGGGAGAGGAAACAAGGGATTTCAGCACCATGGACAGAGAAACTGCCCCATAAGACCTGCAGCTTTACGCCTTTTGCTTTCCTGTCTAATATTTAAAAAATCACATGTAGGAACTCATTTCTCTGACAATAAACGTGAAGTAAATACAAATGTAACACCACTAGTTGTAGCCTATGAAATAATAATCTGTCTTCTCATTGTCTCCCATAGCGTTTCCACTTTATGGGGTGAAAGTTTGCATTTGTGGTCAACTTTAAAACCAGTGAAACTAAAGTAAAGTTCACTCCAGTGTTGCTCTGCTTCGCACACAATAGTTTAAAAGCATTTTCAGTCCAGTCAGTGTTTCATCTGGGAGCCCCCCTCCCCCGATGCTCAGAGGTTAAGTGCCTTGCTCAGAGACACCTAAACGAGCAGGCGCCAGAAGAGCGAATGGGAAGAAACAACCCCACCCACATCTTCCTCGTCTCCCCCGTGGTTTCGAACTACCGACTTCCCTCCACCACAGTCCCCAAACAGTCCTACTAGGTGCAAAAAGAAAAAAAAAAAAAGAAAAGAAAAGAAAAATCAGGGAGACCCCCGTGCGCTCACTGAGTAACTTGAAGCCTTGATTCTCCTTTAAATTTCCTCCGTGTCTGGATCTGCCACTACCATCAGCAGCAGCGGCGCTGCTTCTTGATGTTGTGGTCGGGAATACGCATGCGCCCGGCATTGGAATTACTGCACAGGCAAGAATAAGTTGGACCGCGTCTGTCTTCACTAAAAAAGGAAAGAAAAGAACTCATGATTTAAGTATGGCAGTGTTCCGAATAAGAAGAATGAGGTGTTTTTGCGTCTGGTTGCTCCCCATCATAGTGGCTGTGGTGTGCGCCCAAAGGTAAGTGAAAGGGGTCGGAGGATGCTCCACTCATTTTTTACTTAGTGTGACTGTGTTACAGGCGGAATGGGAAACACTTACGGTCCAAGAATATCTCGAATGTAAATCTGCTGTTCTGTCTCTTGTCTTTTCCTTTTTTCCTCCCATAGTGCCGGTGTCAATGACCCTAGCAATATGTCTTTGGTGAAAGAAACGGTGGATAGACTCTTAAAAGGTTATGATATACGATTGAGGCCAGATTTCGGAGGTAAATCAACTCGTTTTCTCGCCAACTCTGTTCGAGTTTTCGCCTTGTCAGCCTGTTTGATAGTACAGTGTTTGAATTAGGACAGAGAAAACACCGATCTCTCAATTGCAGTTTCGTAAAGTAAACCAGACTTATCGGCTTTTGTGCAGGTGCCAAAGTCTTTGACATTGTATCTAACACACAGAGAGTAGACGTGAAGAAGTAAAAAAAAACACACAATACATGAGTGATCTACGCGGACGAAATTACACCAGCTCGTTTATTTGAATCCAACTAAAAAAAAGGTGTTTGGCATCTCCCAGTGCACGTCTGCTGGAATTTTACAGACAAATAGATGTTTATTCTTCATGTGCATGTTCCAATTGGGGTGTTTCAGTGCGTCAGGGGCTTTGTGATTCCATGTCAACAACTTTTAGGGGGGGAAATACCAGCACTGTCACGGCAGGTCAGCGCATCTAATCCCAGCCGAAATGAACACTGTAAACTATCATCCGGCTGACAACAGCTAAATTCACAAGTGTTAATCTGTGTTCCCATCACGCAATGTTTCTTTTTTTTTTATGTAGTGCCTGCTGTACAATGTGAATCACTTGCACCATGGTGTCCACTTTCGCTTACCGTTGTTTTTTTTTTTTGATCTGTCCCAGGTGCACCGGTTGGAGTGGGGATGAATATAGACATAGCCAGCATAGACATGGTATCAGAAGTCAATATGGTAAGTAGGCCATTATCACCTCTTCCTCACATACCGTTCTGTACTGATCACTCCTGTTACGCACGGACTAAAGAGGGGGAACACCCTCCAAAAAAACCACCGGGGAAACCCCCCTCTTTACGCAGGGCTGTGGAGTCTTTCTCCCCCGATCACTCGCATCGACTTGTGGGGGGTTTGAGACATCAAAGGCAATGATCGCTGTGTGTGAGCGTTGATATGCACGAATTCCAAATTGACTGACACAGATAGATGATTTGTTTTTTTGTATTTTTGTGGTTTTATAAGCTGATTGCTGCTCCATTTGCTGAGCAGAGAGGCTGCACAGACAAGCATCACTAAGTTCACAAAATCAATGATTTTGGGAGAATAATAATAATAAAAATAAAACTTTTTAGTATCCTCATTACTCACATGCCTCATATAGTGAAACTTCTGGTATTATCACCAACTCTGTCAAGATTTCCTCATGTTGCTTCATGAGCAAGTGTTTTAGATTGTTGTGTCAAAGCTGGTTTGTGGCTGGAAACAGTGACAGTGGAGGAGCCATGAGAGCTGTGTGGATGTGAGGAGTGGAGATTAAGTTTCATACAAGTGCACCTCCTAGTGATGAGATGCCAGAACTGCACGTTTACAAAGAAACACAAGGCTGCATTTTATCATCTTGGAAGGTCACTCTTGACACGTGTGATGCAGTTGACAAGGTGAGCAACAATTGATATTTATGGTAATATGCATGAGTTTTCGATAGGGCCATTGTCACACATATTTTTTGGGGGGGAACATTGTCTCTTTCTGTTGTTGACCTCCACCGTGGAAGTTGGCAGATTTCCATTCGCAACTTCGACATAATTTGTACAGATGTGTCCTCCTCCTCCTCCTCCTTTTTTTTTGCTTTTTACTAGCCGTGATATGAGTCATGTTTTGATGTCAGGGAATGATTACACACTGGAATATTTTTGGCAGAGGCACCTAAAGGCTGTTGCTCATGTTGTTATCTTTGTGCTCCTGGAGACCACGTTGATGTGTTAAGATGAAGATGTGAAAACAGATGATTTTGAGTCTGTTTGCACGCGTTCACACAGAAGATCTGCGCGATACGCACACACAAGCACATATGTACGCGATGGGAGCCTACAGATGCCTTCACAGTGGCCTTGGATTCTTAATTAGAGGAATGTCGGCCCTGGGTAACCAATGCAAGAGCTTAAAAGTATTTGTGTATGTGCTAAGAGTCTGCAAGTGCAGTTTGTGTATTGCATATGTAGCCTTGGGATGTATTTCTAGGAATTAGTTACATCTGTGTTCATTTAAATCCTCTCAAGAATAAACACCATTTAACCAGAATCTTTCTCAGCAAGAGCAGGAAGGTCGCGATTTTTTTATGTTAAGTAGTTGTACAACTGTGCTGGGCAGTAAATGTAGATTTTTAGGGTACATAAGTGGTACAGAGCAGAGTTAAAACCAAAGAGGAAACGATGAGAGAGCACCAGCTAGACTGCACGGTGTTGGAAATATATGACATACAGCACTATACAAGGTACTTCAAAGATGTTTTTGCCACTTCTTTTTTCTCCTCTTAGCTGCAACTTTCAGGGAAAAAAAAAACAAAACAAAACAAAAAGTAGAGTATATCTTAACATCATTACTCTCGTCCAGACAGTACATCAGGCCTGGGGTTTATATTCACACACACCCACACACATGGTCAAACAAAATAAAATGAAAAAAAAAACAACCCACTCTCCATTCAAACACAAAAAGCCAAAGCCACGCCGCCTCTTTGATCATCCCAGTCCTTTGTTAGGTTTGGCCTACTAAACACCCTCTAATGTGAAAGGGGAGTCATTACCACCTGACCCGCTGGAGTCTCATGAAAAGAAGAGGCCACATGTGTGTGTAATGGTCTCAACATCTTTGATCTCCTCTCCTTCCTATAAATGTAACCACTTTTCAGGACAGCAGCTGGTGTAGAAGCACTTTCCTCTCTTCCATTTCCTCTACCCCATCTGGCTCTCTGCCTGCCACTTATTTTCGTGCGGGGGGGATAGAACCACCCTGTGTACTTTCTTTTAGTGAACAGATAAGGCACAGGGTTGAGGATAATGGAGAGATGTCACAGAGGGATGTCTCAAACAGTGCCATATTTGTCATTATGGCAGAGCAGGACATCCTGGCTTTGGTATGTGTTAACAATATAATCTTATATTCCTCATCGTTTTGGAGGGCTCGCATTAGAGGCAGAGACACGAGCAGCTGATGACATAGCATATATGTTTGATTTTTCCAGAGGGGCCATTAAAATAGGAAACTGCAAAGAGGTTTGTCATAAACCATCTGTTTTAGCACTTTGTTACCAATGTCACAGAGCAGAAACCCATTTAGAAAAAAAACGTAGGCCTCTAGCTCACTTTAGATGAGTCACCAAACTAAGTATGCAAGCCTTCAAGCGTGAGTGGCCCAGAGGACGTGAAGTCCTCTCTGGTATTTGTCACATAAGCAGTTTTGATGTCCAAATGCACAGCCTAGATTCACCCATGTTGAGACCCTACTTAACCTCTTGAAATCCTACCTAAAGTTTTCTTAAATTAAGAGTTAAACACAGGCCTCTGCAAGACACGTCTCGAGAGAATGTCAGCGAGTGATGACTTTTGAGGTGTTTTGATGTTAAATCTGTGCACCTATAGCTTTACCGACTCAGATGGCACGCAGAAAACTACATTTACATTCAGGCCTGAAGCCTTACATGGAATAAGGAGGATGTGGCTGGTGTTTATTACATACCCACCAAAGGTCACTTGTTCCTGGGTGTTGGAGCCAAAGTCTCAAGCCTGCAAGGGTCAAATGGGATAGGATGTGATTGTGTAAGACCTGTGGGTCAAAATTTTCACCTCTGAGTATGTGACATGAAGAGACAGAGAGAGAGAGACGGATATAGATTGGAGAGAGAGAGAGCTCTGACATTAACAAGTTACCATGTGGAGAGCCAGCAGCGGTGCTGGTGTTGGAGGGAAGGTCATGTACCTAGTGCTGCCAAGGGTTCATTCTGCATGACTCAGAGGTGGACATACAGAGAGGGACGCACACACTGAATACCAATGTCATGCTAGACATTCAACCCAAGGCAAGTGGCTTTGCAAGCCTTAATTCAGGCACCGGTCAGAGAAAGAATGGGAATTATGTAAGCATGTAGAGACACTGGTAGATTTCTTTCTTTTCATTTCTCCCAGCAATTCTCTTTCGTGCACTTTCTCCACTGCCATTTAAGTCTCAATATTTGCTTTTGGTTGAGCTCCTGAGCACTTGAATCCTAAGCCAGCAGTTTTCACGGGGGAGAAATACTCCTGTCTGAGGATGAACTAAAGTTCTTATCCTCCTCCAAAAGGCAGAAATACCATTATTGATGCACATAAAGGTCAAGAAGAGCTTATTGATTGTTGGAGAAGGACTGTGAATTTCAGAGCCCCCCATTTTAGCACCCTGTTATTTCCACCTCTCAGCATGTCTGCTGTAAAAGCATAAAGATCGCAATGAAAACTAGGCCTATACTATATATTATACAGATGTGATACATCATAATGGATGTTGGCTGAAAGGCAAGAGATTATTGCTTGCCATATGATAATAAAAGGGAAGAAAGATTGTGGAAGCACTTATGTGCTATTGCATAACGTCTCATCCGGACCTAAGAGCTTTAAAATGATATTAAGTCTGCATCTGTTGTGTCTACATCTATTTCACAGGCACCTTCAATATTGCTGACATGGACAGAACTGTAAATTGATGAGTAGTTGACCTCAGCCAATAAGTTGACTCAAGTCAATATTATTTTAAATAGGCTTCCATGGCTTTGGGTTTAAACATTTAACACCCAGTATATGATGTCAGTGGGGAGAAAAACACCATCTTAATCAGATCATAATCATGGTAATGATCCTCATAAGTTGATGAATGCCATGAATAATCTGTGAAGATAATGAATGTAACTTAATCTATTATTTTGAATGAATACAGTCACTCTCTTCTCTTTTTTGTCTGGGCAGATTCTACCAAAATTACACAGGGTTTAATAACGGCAGTCGTTGTCAGAACCCACATTATCTCCATGCTCCTGCTCCATGATGGTTGCATAGTAACTAATGAGAGCGGTCGCGGCAACGTGTGAAGATTCACAGACTGAAGCACCTTCCAGTTGTGGAGGGAAATAAATAAAAAGAAATGTGCTAATCTCAATTAAAATGTGTGAATTTATGAAAGGCTCTCCAACTTTTCTTTTTCTTTTTTTTTCCCCCCACTGTAAAACGAACTGTCAGGCTATTTAAATGATATCTCCTCTATATTTATAACTTAAAACAAGCTAATGAGCAAATGGGGATTGACCTCAGTCCCCAGATGTAATCTTGGGTGATAAAGGATTTATTAGACAAGTACAGTTTAAATTATTAATATGATGTATTTGTTGAGCGGCACGAGGAGAAGCTCTGAATTAAAACAAGGTTGCTGTTTTCTTCTGCCATAGTGAGAATCATACTAATCAGATTCTTAGGTTGGATGTAAAGGTTTACTCGAAATGACTGCATAAAAAGTTTTTGTTGCTCAAAGTCCTTTGGAGTGCCTCTTGTAGCGAAAGTGTCCCTTCCTTATCCTCAGTCTATATAAAGCCAGCCAGCATATAGGGCAGACATGGACATACTTGTACACTTAGGGTATCTCTAGAGAAGGATGTAAACTCCATCTGTGTGCCTCTCATGAGTCTACACACATTCACAAATCCTAATCCCCCACGAGTCTCCAGTCGTGTTTCTTCATAAACTGGTATGTTCACGGAGCCTCCAGGAAAGTTGTTGTTTGAATTATGTAACAGACTGAGCAGAGACAAATTTAACCGAGATAGTGGGTTTTTTCGAGCTTTTTTTTTTTTTTTTTAATGAAACCAGCCGCCTGTTACAGATGACACTGGGTAGCTGGGAGAAGGAACAGTGAATAAAAACAAAACAGTGATG